ACTATGACAGATAGGATTCATACAAAGAATACAAATCTGGTTCAATATTAGAAAAATTATTAGCATAACTGACCACATCAACAACAAAAATCATAAGATTATATCAACAGATGCAGAAAAAAACTTTTGAAAAATATAATATCCATTCCTATTAAAAACACTAGAAAGTTGAGGAATGACTCTTTTACTAAAATGCTAAGTAATGTCTATTTAAAACCAAGAGTAACCATTATTTCTACTAAGGATAAACTAGAAATCTTCCTAATAAGATCAGGGGTGAAGCAAGGATGTCCATTAACACCACTATTATTCAATACCGTACTAGAAATGGTAGTTATAGCAATAAGACTAGAAAAATAAATTAAAGGAATAAGAACAGGCAACAAGGAAACAAAACTATCACTTTTTTGCAGATGATATGATGGTGTACTTAAAAAATTCTAGAGAATTAACCAAAAAAATAGTTAAAACAATTAATTTTAGCAAAGTTGGAGGATATAAAATCCACATAAGTTATTAATTTTCTTTATATTACCAGCAAAATCCAGCAGGAAAAGAAAGAGATATTCCGGTTAAAATAACTGCAGACAATATAAAATACTTGGGAAGCTACCTGCCAAGACAAACCCAGGAACTGTATGAACATAATTACAAAACATTTTTCATGCAAATAAAGACAAATCTAAACAACTGGAGAAATATTAATTCCTCATGCTATGGTAGGCTAAGCCAAATATTATAAAAATAGCAATTATACAACCTAAATAAATTTATTCAGTGCCATACCAATTTAACTATCAAGGAATTATTTTAGAGAGCTAGAAAAAAATAGCAAACTTCATCTGGAAGAACAAAAGGTCAACAATATTAAGGCAACCAATGAAAAAATGTGAAGGAAAGCAGCCTAGCAGTACCAGATTTCAAACTATATTACAAAGTGGTAATCATTACAAAATACAACGGTGAATTAGTGGACTACATTAGGTACACAATTCACAGTAGTAAATAGCCATAGTAATCTTGTGTTTAATAAACCCAAAAGATGCAAACTTTGGGAATAAAAATTACTGGAAAAATTGGAAAGCAGTTGGGCAGAAACTAGGCATAGACCAATATCTCTGTATAAACAGTTAAGGTCAAAATGGGCACATGATTTAGACATAAATGGTGATATCATAAGATAATTAGAGGAGCATGGAAAAATATACTTGTCAGATCTATGGATAAGGGAAAAGTTTATGACCAAACAAGAGACAGAGAGGATTACAGGAAGTGAAATGGACAATTTTGATTATGTGAAATTAAAACTTTTGCACAAACAAAAATAATGCAGCTTAAATTAAAAGGAAAGCAGGAAACTGGGGGTAAATTTTTATAGCAAGTTTCTCTGATAAAGGCCTCATTTTCTCAACTACATATGTGTGTGTGTGTATGTGTATATATATATATGTGTATATATATATATATATATATATATGTGTGTATATATATATATATGTATATATATATATGAAACTAAGCCAACTTTATAAAAATAAGAGCCATTCCCCAGTTGATAAATGGTGAAAGGATATGAAAAGGTAATTTTCAAGGAAAGAAACCAAAGCTAATGATAGCCACATGAAAAAAAAATGCTCTAAATCTAATCTAAATGATTAGAGAAATGGCTTTAAAACAACTTTGGAATACCATCTCATGCCTATAAGATTGTTTAACCTAACAAAAACGGAAAAGGACAGATGCTGGAGTTGATAGAGAAAAATAGGAAAACTAATGCACTGCTGGTAGAGTTGTGAACTGGTGAAACCATTCTGGAGAACAATTTGGAACTATACCCAAAGGGTTATGAAACTTTGCATACCCTTTGACCCAGTGATACCACTACTAGGTCTATATCCCAGAGACCAAAGAAAAAGGAAAAGGATTTATAAGTACAAAAATATGTATAACAGCTTTTTGTGGTGGTATAGAATTGGAAACTGAGGAGCTGCCTATCATTTGGAGGATGGCTAAACTAAATTGTGCTATATAATTTTGATGGAATACTAATGTGAAGAAATGATGAGCAGAATAATTTCAGAAAAACCTGGGGAAGACTTATATGAACTGATGCAAAGTGAAGTAAGAACTAGGAGAACATGGTACACAGTAACAGCAATACTGTAATGAAAATGAAACATTTTTTACTTTAATTTTCTTCAGGTGTTTTTTTTTTGTAATGTGGCCAATATAAAAACATATTTTTATAACTTCACATTTAAAATTTAAATAATATTTCTTACTTTTTCAATGGGTAAACAAGGGGCTACAAGGAGGAAAAGTATTTGGAAATCAAAATGACAAAAAAAAATTAATAAATAATTTACAGAAAGATACTAGGGGACAGCTCTGTGGTGCACTGGAAGCATCAGCCCTGGCAACAGCAGGACCTGAATTCAAATTTGGCCTCAGACACTTACTAGCTGTATGATCCTGGGCAAATCACTTAATCCCTATTGCCTGAAAGAAAGATATTAGCATTATGGAGATAGTATAGTTAACTCTTCTCTGCCTATTTATAGACATGCACTCTTCATTTAATCCTTTATAACTGCTCAAATTTATTTTCTTTTTTACATTTCTTTTGTCTCCTGTGTTTGGACTTCAAAGGTCCTCCTCTATTCTTTTTTTCTTAAAGGAATATTAAAAATCCTCTATTCTACTAAAAGTCTATTTTCCCCCTGAGGATTTTATTTAGTTTTGCATCATAATTATCCATTTTAAGTCTTTTTTTGCCTTTTGCTATGTTGAATTCATAGTTGTAGAATAAGCTTGTATAACCTGATTATATTTTCTTGGTACTACACCAATCTCTTCTAGGGTACATTTGGTATTCTAAGGCAGAAGCTTTGTATTTTTGCCATGATGTTTCTGAGTGTATTAAGTATGCGTGATCAGGTCACCTTCTAAATTTTCACAGTTGTTCAGAAGTCCCAACCACATTTTCATTTCAGTAATTGTTTCATATCTGTTAGAATTGTTCTTAAGATTGCAATTAAAAGTAAGATTATTGTAACTCTCACTTTTGAGCAACTGCATATAATTTTCCTAGCGTCAAGAATAGGTTGGTACCATCCAATTGGCAAAGATTAAAAAACAGAATAATTGTTGTAGAGACTAAGAAAATATGGGTGTATGCGTATGTACACAGAAATAATGATGTGGCTATGAATTGGATGGACCAGGAGTGGGGAGCCTATGGCTATGGGGCCACATATGGTCCTCTAGTGCAGCCCTCTGACTGAATCCAAACTTTAGAGAACAAATCCAAACTTCACAGAACCGATCCCTCAAGGATGTCAAAGTATATGGAAAGATATATATACAAAAATAATTTATGGCTACTTATAGAAGAATTTTTTCATGGTATCAAATACCTGGAAGCTGAATGAGTGTCCATGAAGTGGGGAACTGTTGAACAAATCACACAATATCAATGTAAGAGAATATTATTGCACCATAAAAAGTGATGAATATGTAGAATTTAGAGAAACTTGGGAAGACTTGTGTGAACTGATGCAGATCAAAGTAAACACAGATAAAGAGAAAAACAATTTATATAAACACTATAATAATGCAGAGATGACAACATTGAGAAGCATTAGATTTCTCAAGAATACAGAGACTAATTTTTACTTCAGAGGACCAAGACTGAAGTATGTTTCTTTTTGGTAAACTAAAATTACAGCAGGAGGCGTGCCCTCTAAGTTGTGAATGATGCTCAGTTAATGTGTTTTTGTTAACTACGCTTATTTTTACGAGAAAAGGTAGAAGGAAGGGAAATGATAGCACTGCAAGAAAGATATCAATAAAATATGTATATTTAAATGGATGAGCATGCTTAGATGATAAATTAGTATATAAACAAAATTAGTGGTAGCAAATGAAATCATATATGTAAAATTTTTTCAAACTTTAGAATGCTATATGTGATAAATATTATTTTAATTATCACTATTATTATCATTATTATTTCATTCAATCAGTGCAGATGGCTCTCTCCAATAATTTATCACTGCCCATCCATACCAGCTCATATTATATGATTTTTGTCTGTGCCCTCCCACAAATCCTTGATAATTGTATGCCCAATATGCTCAGGGCCTTCATCTATATGCTTTAACAATTCATGTATGGCTTTGTATGGTACAAACTATACATCTCTCATCCTTCACTTTCAATACATAACTAACCTTCGTCTTTTTCCACTAATATTTCATAGGCCAATAGCTTTTACTCTTTTTTTTCCTATGCGAATCACCATTGGTAAAATATTGTAGCCTATTTGCTTATGCACACTATGTGTCTTTCCTTTGCCCTCGAAATCCCGGCAGTTACAGAAATTATTTTAGACCTATTTACTGGACTGATTTAAATTTAATTTGAGGTCTTCAGAAGAAAGAAGCTGAAAAGAAGGAAGATTTTGCTCATATTTAGGAAAAACATTTAAATTCACCTATGGAAAAAACTGCAGGCTTACACTGAGGTTTTCGTGTTTATGCTGTTAGAGTTTATTTAATGATACACTGCATCTCTGAGCAATATCCACTTACAGGCAGCTGGTTCACAGGTGTGGGAGAAGGCTGCTGGCTGTCAGCATGAGAAAGCTTTGACCAAGCCATGAGCATATAGAATAGGATATATTCCACTTTCATCCTAATCCTACAAATCAAGTACACTTTAACGGGCTAAGAGTCACTCTAAAAGTCCACTTCTTCCTGTCCAGTGGACAATCCATTAATATCTTATCTAAGAGATAAAGCTCTCTTTGCAACATAGCTTCACTTTTTGTATTAATCAACCAACATGCCAATTTAAAGGTCAGAGTAAACTGAAGACTGAACTGTTCATGAAAAACAAAGGAGCTGCCCCGGGTCGCGAATCTTCTGAAATCCCAGAAGGCCAGAGCCTTTACCTGGTATTTGAATGCTAAGGTATTATGTACTCTCTTTTTGTCACAGACATCGATGAATGTGCCTTAAGGACCCACACCTGTTGGAATGATTCTGCCTGCATTAACCTGGCTGGTGGTTTTGACTGCCTTTGTCCTTCTGGACCATCTTGCTCTGGGGACTGTCCCCATGAAGGTGGCCTAAAGAGAAATGGTCAAGTGTGGACTCTGAAAGAAGACCGGTGTTCGGTGCTCCTGCAAGGTGAGGACAAATATATGGTACAGCTGAATATAACCATTATGGTTTGTTTTTTCTCTTTTGCTAAATGCCTTGGGCAGCTACATGGCACAGTGGATAGAACAACAGGCCTGGAGTCAGGAAGGCTTGAGTTCAAATCCAGTCTCAGAAATTTACTGGCTTTGTGACCCTGGGCAAGTCACTTAAACCCTGCTTGCTTCCATTTCCTCATCTGTAAAATGAGCTGGAAAAGTAAATGGCAAACCACTTCAGTATCTGCCAATAAAACCCTAAATAGGGTCACAAAGAGTCAGACATGACTGAAAAAAAAATGCCTGCATTTATTAATTTTTTGTCATTTTATTTGTTTATTGTTAATTTATTGTTAATAAATGCACTATGTTCTTGATTCAGTGGCTCTCCCAGAGTGATTCTAAAAATCTTATCTCATTTTAGACTGCACTAAAGTTAATGATGGTGCTCAGCTGCAGAGGAACCTGCTTTGAATTTGTTGGTTTCCTGGTGAAAACTGAAGTGTTTTGTTAGGAGAATGACAAGCTCTGGGTGGAGAAAGCAAATGTTCGTCCTGCTGAGTAACTTCAGGTTTCGTTAAGTGTGCTTGCATAGAAGCAATAATGAACTTCTATTCCCTACTTTCACAGCCTGATTAAGATGACTTTTTGCTTTAAAAAATTAACTTTAAAAAACTAGTTTACCTTAGTAAGAAATATCACTTTGAAATCTAAGCCCAGAATTGTGCTATTTGGAAACATAAGGACTTCTATTTTGTACGAGTGATTAATATTATTGTTTTAGATAGCCTGGTAACTGATGTCTTATTTATTATTCTCAGTGCCTGGCTATTTCTTATACTAAATTCTTTGAAATTGAGTTTAATGCTTATGAAAATAAATAGTGTCATCATCTGGTTTGCTTTATGTTTTGGAAAATGGGCCTATTAAAGTGTTTTATTTCCCAGCATTTATTTATTTATTTTTGTTAATCTTTCCTATTTATTTCCATTTGGTTTTACATTACTAGAGCTCTGACTTTGCGTATGTATGTGTGCATATATACATGTATATATGTATATGTATGTATATGTATACACACACACATTGGGTTCTTCTGCTTTATAAGCTTAAAAGAATTTAGCATGAGGTGGGACAAAAAGCCATTTACTTCAAAAAAGTGTTGCAGACTTCTGAATGTTCTTCTAGAATGCAGACTTCTATTCTCCTCCAAAAGAGATCATGATAGATAAAGCACTCAAAATCAACAATCTTCCCTGGTCATCTTCATTCAGGCCACACCCAGTCCTATCCAGAGAGATAAGAATCCCTCCTGTTTTTAAAGATGTTATACCATCAGAGACTTAACATAATTTCAGGGAGGATCTGGAGATATTTAGCCAGGAGAAGACTCCTGGAGGAGTCATGTCAGCTATGTTCCTGTTTTGCCACCAAGGGCAGAACCAAAAAGAGTTAATGAAACTAGCAAAGAGACAAATTTAGGCTTAATTTCAGGACCAACTTTGTAACAATTAGAACCCAAAAGTCAAACGGATTTCTTCAGGGGTAGCAAATTCCCCATGAATGGAGGCCTTCAAACCAAAAGCTAAATTACTGAGCTCTAGAAAAGGTATGAGACAAGAACTTTGCTCTCAAGAAGCATAAAATTAAGGAGAACAGAACAATGTATAAAATTACAGTAACTAAGTGATTCAGTATTCAGTAAATACTTATAAATGAGCATTAGTAAAATTGCAGTAACTAAATGATATAATATTGGATGTCAGTAAAAGGAATTCCAAAAACATTTGCAGCCATTTCCAAACCATGGTGCCTGTACCAGCCCAGGCTCTTCATTCCCTCCCACCACAAGTCAGTCTCTTGTCCCAGGGTCTCTGGACCATGATAAGAGGGCTTTCACTTTGTCTTTCCCAGGAGTACTCCCAGACTATTTCCAAACTCACCCCTCTTTTTACAGCTCCCCTTTATATTCTGTTTGGTTGGTTTCTATTTGTATCCCAAGTCTGCAGGAAAATACCCAGAAGTGATGAAACACATGATTCTTTTTTTACTTATTTGTTCATGAAGTGAGAGATCAGTGTGACTCAGAAGCAACACAGTATAAAGGGAAGGTCTGTTGAGTCAAATGTCCTAGGTTCAAATCCCAGGTCTGCTACAGATTAATTATGTGATTGTGAGTAAATGATTACGTCTATCTAGATCAAGGTCTCTCAACCTGAAATCGATGGACCCAGGTCATGGATAGGTTTCAGGAAGTGCAAAAACTTGGTTTTAAAAATCATATCTTTATTTAATTATAATCGATTTCTTTATAATACTATGCATTTTGTTTGACACATTTAAAAACATTATTCTGAAAAGGAGTGTACAGGCTTCACCACACTGGCAAAGGGGGGGGGGGGGAGAATCATGATTAAAAAAATGTAAGAAAACATGCTGTAGATCTAGTCCACTCATATGTTAAAAGAAGGTGCCAGAAGAGAATATTGTTCTGTCTCCTTTTAAATATTTGGTCCTTCGACCTACTCAGGGTAGATTCAGAGAAAGCAGCATCTGAGCTAGCCTCAAAGTTAAAAGCACCATCACAAAACAACCAAGAAAAAATAATGCCAATTCTTTTTTTTATCATCACACTCCCAAAAGATCCTGGTTAGTAACATTTTAGCAATATTCACTGCTGAACCCAGAGACCTCCCCACATTGTCCAGGAGGCTAGAAATGAACAGTTTGCCCTAGTAAATATCTGACGGCTGTTAATTTTCCTTTCTGGATTTTATTATCATTTGAGCCAATGAAAAGAGCAGGGGACTTCTCAATCATTAAAAATTCCCTGAGCTTTATCAATTAACTACATTAATTACCCAAGTAGCCTGAGTTGATATATTCAGCTATCATTGGCTGAGTGTCCCCACTGTCTTAAGAGAATTACTTTAAGCATGCCTGAGGAGATGAGTATTGCTTGAAATCTTATTTTGTTGATATGCCATCTTCCTCATTAATACAAGAGACAAACAGAATTGTAATAAATAAATCCATCCTATAGATGCAGCTTATTACGCAGTTTGTAATATAGCTTTCAAATGGTGGTGGATGACTTAGTTTAGGCACAGAAGGAAGCCTTGGGTCCAATTCTTTAGGTCATCCTCCCAGCATAAAGGATTTTTTTTTAATTTCCCCACTTTTCACGTTTATAAATGCAATTGGAAAATATGTTTTCAGTTATAGATAAAAAATTCTTTGGGGTCACTTAAGGCATTTAAGCAGGCAATTACAAACCCATCAATTCTGAAATGGAGACATGCCAGGAGGGGTGACAGATAGAAATGTTTTCTTTGGAATCATGTGAGACTAAGATGCTCTTATCATTCAAAGTTATGGAAAATAATTTAGCTTGGCAATAACATTTGTTATGTGAGTTATCACAGGGTTAAGGCCAAGTATTAATATATGCAAAATGAAAATTACTTTTCACTTCCAGAAAAGGTACTTTGCTGCTTTCATTTCCTACATAGAACGGTAGGCACCAATGCCATGCTTCAGTTGCAAGAGGGGACTCGTGACACAATTACAGCCAGACATTAGCTGGAGTTGGAAAGCTAGATTATATGTGGACAACATGTATTTGTTCATTGAGAATGGTTTAGATTGCCTTTAGAACATAGAAGAACAGGAAAATAAAACATTTATTAAATACTTGCTATATAACAAGCACTGTGAAGTCCTGGATATACGAATACAAAAATGAAAAAATCTCTGCCTTAAATGAGTTTACACACCAATGGACAAAACAAAATTAATTGTAAGAGAGTAATGACCTACTGGGAAAGTAACTGCTCGGAGAGTTCGCTGATATGCCTCTTCTGGAAGCCATGGTAGTATTGAACAGATTAATGCACACAATGCAAAAGGTAGAAAGTGAAGGAAATGGGATGTATGTGGTAGCAGGATTGACGGTAGGATGGCCAGGGTGGATAATTCAATGGGACTGGAATTATGTTCTGGGGTTGGCTAGATATAATTGGCTAGGTGAATGTGTCCTCACTCACCAATCTAGACACTTGAGCTCTACAGCAAGAGTTCCAAAGCTGAGGGCATTAAATTCCCAAGAACTGGGGAGCTTGTTTCTGGAAGTTGTCACATTTATGGGAACACAGGCATTTTTAGGCTAGATTGGACCTAGTGGTCTTTGAGACTAGCATTCTAGAAATGACAAACTCATAAGGAAGAACTTAGTTTTCTTCCTTAACACCAAGGTCAATGGTTTGGTATAGTCCTGCTTATCAAGAAACCACCTGTAGCTCTTTGATTCACATATTTGTCCAAACTTCTTAAAAATCCATTTTTATTATTTACCCATGTCTGAGAAACAGCACAGTGCAGTGGCTACAACTCTGGCCTTAGAGTCAGACAAGCCAAAATGCAAGCCCTGCCTCTGACACAGTACCACCACGTCTAAGTCACTTAACCTTTTACTGTCCCAGGCAACTGTAGAAGTCTCTAAGTTGCAGACAAGTTGATGATCTGCATTAGTAGAGGGAGTTTCCATGCTGGGTTATGCCGATGAAATCAAGGATTTAAAAAGAAAAGCAGAATCTGGAGGGAAGGTTTATCAATACATTTCTTGTTCACCATGTGAGTTCACTTCATACTGAGATAAAGGAATCCAGTGAAGTAGGGTTCAGGAAAACTCAACCCTTGACTGAGGGCAAGAAGTCTAAAAGAGTTGTAGAATTGTGAGCATATGAGAGACCTCCTTGTCCAAACCCTTCCTTAACTGGTGTTGCAACCCTGTTCTCCATTGCAGACTCTCTGACTTCTCATTCCCATTTTAATTTCTTTCTCTTTATTCTCTCTCTCTGGCCTCCTTTGTTTCTGTACAAATCTGTGCCTTTATTCAGGAGTTCTATAACAGATGGCAATTGTAGCTGATAATTTAAGAAGGGCAATTAAAATATTCTTCTACTTTGGTAAAGGATTCAACATAACTGCCTTAATCAGATGCAAGGAAGGAAGAACAGACAGGTCTGGAGTAGCCAATCCCTTTTTTATGGTTCCTCTTATTTTCCCAGTGTAACATAAATGATCTCCACTCAAGTTCCCTACATTGATTAAAAACTTTTCAAACTCTTTGGTATAAAATATGATGTCAAGCAGTCTGGAGTATGTGTATTATTGTGTTGGTGATTCAGTAATAAAAAGGATAATTTATAACCAAATCCCTCTAATTTTCAGAGTCATAATAAAATACATTCTTTTTTATTTCCTGGGAAGTTCATGTCCTCACTTTTTAAAATTCATAAGCAATTTGGTTATTGAGAGTCTGATTAATAGTTTACAGCTGAGCTTTCTACATGAAACTCTATATAAACATTCAGGAGTTATAGCAGAAGGGCATCTCAGGTACACCCTTGGTATATGAAATAGAGTTGCTGTGATTACCTAGTTTTCACTGGCTAGACTAAAGGTCAAGATCTAGAGCAAAGCCAGCAATAAATGGAGCTGAGAGGGAAGGTAAGCCAGCATGAGTGAGCCATTGCAGTTCTCAATGGTGTGCTCACATGCTAAACCTTTGTAATGGTATTCTCTACGCTCTTGCATAGTTTTCATGATTAAAAATTGTCTTTTTGACAGTTAGCCTATAATTCAAAAGATGATGTGAACACAAATGTTACTTTGACATATAAGAAAAGGAAGGGGTTGGTTTGTTATCTCCACATAATTGATGAAATGTGAAATTGCTTTATTTTGGACTAACCCTGGAAGGTAGCAATTTGCTTATTTTGTATCAGGATGACAGGACGACAGATACTACTCTGGATGGGTTTATATTTCTGCAATGCAGCTAGCAAGAACCCTGATAGGCCATTATTAATTAACTTTACCACCCATAATTCATGTGACCACATGGCTTGCAGAAGCATAGTCCTTCTTCTGATGGGGATAATTTATTCAGCCATGAACATTTCTATATTTACTTTCCTCTGATGCTGTAGATAGTTATCCTTAACTCTGATGCTTTAGGGTGCCCAGTGCTATGGTAACTCTCTACTGGGGAAGCAAACAAACTTTTTGGTCCTTCATAACCTGGATGATTTTTCCCATATCTTTGAGGGACTCCCCAACAGTGATTCTACCCAAGCTTGTGAAAGCCCTCTTTCCATTCTTGTACTACTTGTTCATGGATAATAGACCAAGATTCATACTATCTTCCCTGACTCCAGTGACATGGATTGTTTTCTTTTTCCAGTTATACTAAGCAAAGGACTTAACTTCTTATTAACCACAAGCAACTCTGAGGCTGCAAATCAAAGAACAGGTTCCAATCCGCACTACTAGAGAGAATTTTCTCAGTGGGAGTTTCCTATAACAATGATATCAGAGATCCAGTACCCCTCCTGAAATATAAAATAATAGCTAGTATTTATA